ATATACATGAATTTATATATTGGCGCATTTTGAAATTTGGCATATTTGGTGAAAGAAATAATAGCTTCTAATGTAGTTTATGCACTTTGTTAAAATTATTTGAGAGTAGGAAGGATGTGACTTTTTTTTTCCGCTCATGCACAATATAAAAAGGTAGGAATGATGTGGCTTTTTTTTTTTTTTTTTTTTTTTTTTTTTTTGCTCATGCACGATGTAAAAAGGTAGGAAACAATGTGACTCCCCCCACTCCTTTACAGTGGAAGGGAAAGGAAAATAGGTTGCCATATATTAAGAAGTTCACCAAGTGAATTATTCTTGGAAATACTGAAAAAATATGCCAAGCTAAATTTTGTAATTCCTCCTTAAATTTCACACCAAATTTTGCAAAATTTTATATTTAGGCATAATTTGAGTCATAGAATCAAAGTATGGAAAAAATTGCTATGTTATTTCAGAAAAAGACTCATTTTGTGTCAAAATATGTATGTTAGAACAATGCTATATATATCCTAAGTCGCACTTTCAAGACATGAAAAACTAAATCTGAGTTTCGTCAATCGGCCCAGTTGAACAGGAGATACAGAACTGTCCTCCCCCCTTTTTTTTGTGCAGTGTAACTTTAGAGTCCTGCTGCTAATATTTGCATTGAGTTTCTACTGAGTTGGCTTTTCATTGCAGTAATCGCAAAAGGCCTTGTGAGCAATTTCATGGTTGTTATGTTGAAAAACAAATTTGTTGCTTACTAGTGTATATTCATTGCTCAGTGCCACACAAAACAAACTGCAAGGAAGAGGCATCAATCTCATTGAAACTAGAATGCTGTTATCTTTTGTTTTCATTTTTAAATTGATGTGCTTATATCAATACTGAATCAAAGAGAATTTCATTACTTGGATAACCTAATGCAGTTGTCTATTATTAAAAAGAGGAAGAAAGGAAAAATTTTTCAAATGGCTTACATGTAATAATATATTTCCTAAGAAGAAATATTGTTATGTGCAAACAAACCAACTGGAAAATTTAAAAAATTTTTATTGTTCGCTTCCTTGACATTGAAAATGACAATGTACCAGCATGGCTCATTGTCAAATTGCTTAATTGTGAGATATCTGATCTTGCTATTGTGATACAAGAAATGTTGATTACGTTGAAAGAGAATGTTTAATCATAAGTCTTTATTTTAAACACATGGGTGTGCTAAGTTTTGGAATTGAAGTCATCCTAGAGAAATATTGCAAAATAAAAAGTTGTTACCAAAAAACTTACTGGCTGTTTCATCTTCTAGAAGAAGCAGACATTGGTAAAATTAGTAATTTACAATGGACATGAAACAGCTTGAGTATTTCTGAATGAGGTGATTTAATTAACCAAATAAAAAATGCAGTAATCTGTCAAAAAGTAATAAAAATACATTAATATATCAATAAGCAGCCTTCACGTTAATTGAAATAAAAATTTTGTAGAATTAAAGTCTGTGACTTTGTTTCAGAAACTTTGTTTACAATTGTAAAATGAAAAAAATAATAAAATCCAATAAACCATTTTTTTCCAAGATTTATATTCATATTCTTAGTCTAATCGTTATCTTTGAAGTAACATACAATTATTTTATTATGATTATATTTTTATGCTGTATAATATAGAGAAAAATATAAGGGGGTCAGTGAAGAATATTCTCCAAGAAAAGGGTGTTGTGAATCTCCTTGAGTGAAAAAGTATGGAATGCTTCATCACTTAAAGTTTTCTATTAAACTTATATATATTCAATAAAGTTTGCCTAAGTTACATGTAAGTGAATTTTTTTTGAAGAAGTATCCACATTTTCAGCATGTTCTGTTATGGACAGTCATTCATAGGAAGCAAGCGTTTTCCAAAAGTGTTAAGGCAGTTTAAGTACTTTTAAAATGCAGAAAGCTTTGATTGTGGTGGAATCAAAAATTAAGTAGAAGTTAATATTTTGGAGTGAGTTTTTCTGAACCCTTAGATGGATCTAATGTTATGCAGGGCAATGTACAAAAGGAGATGCATTTAAAAGTCTGCTTCTTCCTAAGTAGTTAACTGAAAAGTAATTTTATCACATCACTTTTATCTTTACATCACATTCACTTTTTCACACACAGTTTCTTAGAAAAAAGGGAGGAAAAATGTTTGCTCTAAATATCAATAGATTAAATGATTTTTTATTTAGAAATAAAGAATAATAAATTTGTGTGAGAATGTAAGTTTTGAGTGTTTACATACAGGATTATTCAAAATTATGTCCAATATTTTAAAAGATTGAATTTCATTTTTAAGCAGAGACATATCAGAACAAGTTTAAAAGGAAGGAAAAGTCAAATATCCCCCCTTCCCTGCTGCCTGTATTGAGTTTTGAATTTCATTTTTAATCAGAGATGTATCAGAACAAGTTTAAAAGGAAGGAAAAGTCAAATATCCTTCTTCCCTGGTGCCTGTATTGAGTATGGAAGGTATGGTGGCACTGCGATTACTAGAATGAAAAATGGCAGCTCAGAAAGAGAAGGCGTTTTGAGTCTTACAGTATGTGTAATCGGAATCAGTAATTTTTGTCCAACATGCATTTTACAGACGATTTGGAAAAGATAGTGAAACTCACAAAATCATTCAAAAATGGTATCACCAATTTGAAGAAACAGGCTGTCTTTAGAAAGGCAAAAACTCTAGGTAGGTACATGTTAGCGGTGAGAATGTGGAAAAGATAAGAGTGACAGAGTGCAGCCCAAAGAAATCTACTAATAAAGTTAGTTATGAACTGGGACTTAAGCTAACAACAGTGGGGTGTGTTTTGTGAAAATGATTGCAAATGAAACAGAACAATAGATTAACGTACAGATTGCGGATGACTCAAACTTTACATCGTAGAGACAAAACTAACAAATGAAGTTTTACATGAACATGCAAAATAAATGTGAACATGAGAATGGTTTTCTCCTGTTGCCTCATATTCAGTGACAAGACAGCTTTCTACTATATTAGCAGGAAAGTTAATTGTCACAATCTGCAAATCAGGGGGTCAAAATACCCTTACTGTACTTTGCAGCATGAATGAGATTCAGCTAAAGTGAATGTGCTTTGTGCAGTTTTGGAGACCAATTTGTATAAGTGTTCTTTTTTGTAGAAGAACCAAGAAATGGCAACACATATCTTGATATTTAACAGGATCTAGCTTTTTCTGCAGTTATAGGAAGACTCAATTTTGTCTTTCAGATGTCAAGATGGTGCACCTCTGTGCTACAAGCAGGAAGTATGTGAAATTTGCAACAATGTGATTCCTAATAGTTGGACTGGCTACGCTAGAAAATGTTTTCCTAACCCTCCAAGTCACCAGACATCACCTGGTGTGACTTTACCTTGTGGAGTTAGTGGAAAAATAAGTGCAAGTGCCACCACTGCCACACAACTTGGAGGACCTACAAAGGACCCCTAGGTAATACTCAGAACTTTGTAACACCAAACATGCTCAAACAAGACTTAATATTCCATTCCGTTGTGACTTTACCTTGTGGAGTTTAGCGGAAAAAAAAGTGCAAGTGCCACCACTGCCACACAACTTGGAGGACCTACAAAGGACCCCTAGGTAATACTCAGAACTTTGTAACGCCAAACATGTTCAAACAAGTGTTAGAAGTTTTGGAAGAAATAGACCACCATCTAGTCTGCATGCGTATATTTATATATTATGTTAAAGTACTATGTACTATTTTGCATAACTCTGTATATTAACTAATTCTTATGATTACAATATTTCGTAGCATGAGAGTAAAAATGCTTGACTTTTGTTAGCAGTACATTTCATTATTATATGTGACTGAAATTTTCTAGAAATGAAAACAATGGCTGTATTATTAGAGACTTAATATTCCATTAGCTTTAAGTTTTAGAAAATGATGCAATCCCATTATATTTTCTTAGATAGTAGGAAGGTTAAATTCATATTTATTTAAATACAGATTTTATTTTTTAAACTTTTTGCTGCATTTTAATGTGATAAACTGATGCAGAAGTTTTCAGTTCATAATAATATGAAAAAAAGCTGCTGTAGTGTAATTCATAAAAATTTGTTATGTCTTGTCTTAATACTTCATTATTTATTAAGAGTACTTTGTAAAATTTGTTGTGTTTCATGATTATATATGCTTAAGAAATTGTATATATCATCTTACAGTAGCAAATGATAATACTTTTTTTTTTTTTTTTAAAGTACATCATACTGTTGATTTGAGAAAATGCAGATAATTTTAGAAACTGAAGATATTCTGGAATACCGTATTTACCTTCATAATTCAGCTGATGGCTAATGCTGTAGAATACTAGTACATTAGTTTACCCTGTGTTCCAGCTGATTGGGTTGGACATATGAGGTTTGCATGTTATTCCTCATTTATGATATTGTTGAAGACTCCTCATATTATGTCATTGGACACATGAGGTTTGCATGTTATTCCTCATTTACGACATTGTTGAAGACTTCTCATATTATGGCAATTCAGTAAAAGATTATTCAAGCATCATCATAATGGTGCATATTATTTCATTGAACAAATTTTGAAAATATTAAATTTATGAAGTATTCAAAGGTACAGATATTTTTTTATTTTCATTGGGAAAATTCAAATTATGTGAAGTATATTGAAATAGAGTTTTTAAACATTTTACCTGTGAAATAAACTTTGTCATAGATAATTTTAATCATTATCTATATTATATTAAAATGATATTTAAAAAAATGAGTTGTAATTGGTTTCTCACTTTTTTGGCAATTAAGAAGTTTTAAAATACATTTTATATTTGTTATTACCGTTTTAAAGATGTAATAAATGTTACCTTGCTACCTGATTTCCAATATAGATTTTTTTTTTTTTAGCTTTAGTTATGCAAATTTGATGTGATGTATACTATTTTACCATCTAATTTTTTTTAAAACACTTTCAACATGAAATTTTGTATTCTGAATGTATTCATTATTTTTCATGTAATTTCAGATGCCTGTTAAAGTCAATGAAATAAGAGAAAGGATAGAAAGTTTTTTAAAGGCAAATGGCTGTGATGTACAGTTTAATTCTGTACTATTAAATCTGTACAGAAATGAAAAAGATAGTGTAGCTTGGCACAGTGATGATGAACTTACCATGGGAATAGATCCTACAATTGCATCCGTGTCACTAGGTGCAGTTAGAAAGTTTGAAATGCGGTCAAAAAAACATGTAATGTTATATTTTTATACATCAGTTTTTAATTGTGAAATTTTTAGTGTTCCATATGTTCTGTGTTAATGTTTTGCATAATTCTGTTATTTGTGCATATATTACAACTGCAGTCTTGCTTTTTTTGTATTAACAAATACTTGGACTTCTGATAAACAGCATTTTACATTCAAATTTAGGTTGTGAGAAAGCAAATACAGGCTAGGCAGAGCTAAGAAGAAAATATGGAAAACAATGAAAAGTGTATTAATTTTTTTCAATTTCCATTTTAAGCATTATTTTAAAATACATACATAAAATATATAAGGAAAATATTTCCATTGTCCATAATTAACTACGTTTTTGCATTAATTAACTATGTTTTTGTATGAATGAGAGAGATGAGAAAGTTTGAAAAATTATTTTCTGTGACATGAATACTGTTCTAATTGTCATGTAAAGATCTTAATGTATGAAGATGAAATGTATTAATATATATAAAATTATAGAATCAATTAAATAAATGTATGAGATACTGCATTGAAGAAAGAATGTTCTACAGAAATTTGTGGAATATTTATAGAAATGCGTATAGCATTTATATAATTGCTTTCTCTATATTATTTTAGAAGTTTGTTGTGTGAAAACACATAAAATTCCGTGCAATTTTAGAAGAAACTCAAATTTGAACACTACAAATTTATAATCTGCTGATAAAAAATAAATTATTTATTCATTAATAATGCAAATTATTTGTGATAAATGAACATTTTATATTTATCCTCACCTTAAGAGATTTTTAAAGGTAAAAAATATTTTACATTGCCATTATTATATATATTATTTTTGAAAAGAATAATAAATAGTAAAATCATTTTGTTCTCGTATCCTTAAAAATGTTTTTAAATGCAGGCTTAGGTGTCAGTTTCACTGGATTGGAGATCTTTGAATTTCAAAAGCTGTTCATATAAAATTTGTTTCTTTTCTAAAAGGTACTTTTCCACCTTCATTGCATTAATTTACAAGTCAGATTCAGTTGCATTTAAAAGTTTATTATTATTTTCTTTTTACTTCCTTATAAGGAAATGTTCCTTGTAAGGAAATATTATAATCGTGAAAAATTCTGGGTATCATATTTAAATGGAAATATCCATTTTGACTGCTATCAAATGAAATTTGCATGACATCTGTATGTAACAACAGAGTAAAGGACGCTTTTCCCCCAAATAAATTATAAAACTGATTTAAAATGTATTCAAAAGAGTTTTTTTTATGATGTCTATACCTACAAATCTCGCATAACTCAAAAACAAGTAGCTTCAGAATGTTGAAATTTTTTATGTAGGATTGCTATAACATGTAGAGTTTGTGCCTCCCTTTTTGGTTGCAAATGGCCGCACCAGTCCGGGTAATATTTCAACGAAATTATCCATTTTGACCACTATTTAATGCAATTTAACAATGTTTTTACGTGACATCTTTACGTAAGGACAGAACAGAGGACCAAGCGAATTAGAAAACGGATTTATAATGGATTCAAAAGAGGTTTTTATTGTGGCGTCCGAACGTACATATGTATGTATCTCGCATAACTCAAAAACGAGTAGCCTCAAAATGTTGAAATTTTGTATATAGTATTGCTATAATATGGAGTTGTGCATCTCCCTTTTTGGTTGCAATTGACTGCACCAAAAGTATATAAATAAATATTTTTATATATATATATACACACATATCTGCTCTGTTACTCGGCTCAGTGAGCTCAATTTGTTTTATTCTTATATGTTGGTAAATTGTGCATTTTTGCTTTAAAAATAATTTAATTATGCTGTTCTTATCTTTCAGTTAAGGTTTTATGCCTTTAGTTAATCTGCATGCAATAGTTGTAGAATTATCAACAATTTAAAAGTTGTTTAACTGCAGTTAAGCGTAAGTTATTTTACCATAGCAGCCATACTTATTTACATTTGAAACTTAGTAGAGTAATGAATCAGTGTCTGCACCTTCAGTGTCTTTTTGCCAATTGAGACCAAAAGGAAACTTTTATCTGCGGCTAAGCCTATTTTTTTTACCACAACAGGCGTATTTGTTTACATTTGAAACTTAGCAGAATAATGGATTTGTTGCCAGTATAGAGAAACTAAGCTTCACATCAACAAAGATAATGTCTTCTTTTATTATTGCGAATTAAATCATCCTTAACCCATTCTGGAATTATCATTTAAGTTATTAAATTATCTCATATTTTGACTCAGCATAGCATCCACAATGAATTCAGTTTCTACGCCTTCATTGTATTTTTGCCGAGACCAAAAGTAAACTTTCAGTTTTGTGCACCGGAAAATCTGACTTCTTGCCCACTGGCTGAATGCCTTGTTTCTGTGTAGAATCTCTAATTTTAATTGTAAAAATTGTTTTAACTGTATTTGGTGTTTTACGTTTTTCTGTATCTTTCAATTTTTAATGAAGATATTTTGAGGTTTTATTCATTTTTGTCTTGCCATGAACTGAATTAATATAATGAGAAAGAGCTATCTCTAATGAAACTCGAGGAAATAAGTTTAAATGAAATGCAGCAGAAATGTGTTTAATTTAATATTCTGTACAAGGAAGTCATGTGGTGTCTGCATCAGATTTTTCATTGATATTATTTACTTAGACTGTTATGCTAAAATATGAAAAAATATTTAGAATTTACTGTAAGACAAACTTGATCTTCCCCTTCACTTCATCTCTAGCAGTCTAGACATCAGTCTACCTGACAGAGTTGTCCAACTGTCTTGTCTATATCAGTGGTCTTCAAACTGTATTCCATTGAACACTGGGGTTGTGAGTCAAAATAAAAATCTTAAATGAAAATTATAAAGCTCTCACTCTAATTGACCCAGTGTCTATGAACTAAAAAATATCATGATGCATTTAAGTGTCTTTGAAAATTAGTCACAAGCTTTATGTGTGTAATCCCAATGTCCATAACATAACATCACCAGTCATGTATGCACAAGAGTAGCTCCAATTTTTCGATTGTTAAGTTGATGCGTATGTAAAATTGTTTCTCACACAGCTATAAACATTTTAGTGTCATTTGAAACAGTGTATTTACATGAAAAATCTTTATCAATGTATGTGGCAACAAAAACAGAATATGGAAACATATTAAATGCAGAGTATGAAATGTGACTGCAGATAGCATCAGTAGAGCTAAACTTCATCAATATGTGTAAAAACGTCCAAGTACAAGCCTGTCACTAAATATAAAAGGTAGGTGAGACTAGAAGCATGAGTTAATGCTGTTGAGTAAATTACATTAATGTTATGTTAAAAAGTTTAAATAAAAACTGCAATACCTTTCCTTAATTTTCTTTATGTATAGTATCTATAACATATTGATTTACTTTAAATATTATTTTAAGATATATTTTTCTAAAGGTGGGATAGGGTTCCCTGAAAAAACCTTATAGTTCTATCTGTGAGTCAGCAAAGTTTGAAGACCAGTAGTTTATATTATATATGAAAACCACATGTAATCTGAAATTTTAACCTTTGATTGTATCATATTAGGTATTGATAGCTTAATAGTAAGATGGAGACATATTTGATAGCGTCTTAAAGCTATAAGTGTCTTAAAAGATCAGAGGAAATAATACATTGAAAATGAAATGATTATGTGTGTATCACGAAAATTTACACAGTTTGGACAATTTCTTAAAAATACATATTCTTGATGTTATGTAACTAGACTTCATAAAAAGAAACGCTATTATTAGGACTTCTTACATCATTTCTACTTTTGTATCAATAATAATATTTTTAATGTGATTGAAATCATTTTATTTCAGTTAGCAAAGAAACAATCTTTGGGTGATGCTGATTATTTTGTAAACTTGGAACATGGAAGTTTGCTCATCATGGATGGTTCTATGCAATTAGATTGGCAGGTACACTTAAAATTCTTAGTTTTTATAATTTTGAGTTTTCTGAAAAGGGTATGTATTGTTTTATTACATCAAATACAGTTTTTGTAATTATAAAAAAAAATTATAATTTTGAAGTTCTAATAAGTAAATTTTAAGATGGAAGGGGGAGGAAAATATTGATACCCTATGCATAAGAGTTTACATACTAAACCAATAGATAAGAAATAACTGTTAAGTATAACTGTAAAAATCATTTCCACTCATATCTGACTGATTCTTTCATACATGCAGAATGTAGAAGTAAATAAACTGTTATTGTAGGATGAATAAAATTATTTCTCAAGTAATGTCTTGTGATAAGATTATGATTTTGTAAGTATCTTAAGCAAAAATCATTCAACAGAACTGTTATTTACAGTAGAACTCTAAGTAATTCGACTTTCATTGAACAAAAATCAGCTCAATTGGAAATAATGTGTCTTATTACTATTAGACAAAGTTTTAAAATTTTGAGAAAAGTATACATTAAATAATGTTTCCATGGCAATATTTTTTGCACTATTAAGATCAACAATAAAAGGAACTGCTGCATTGTTCCAAGTTGCTTTAAATTTAGTAATAAATATTCACTAGGACTGGCATAGGTATGACCAGGACAATTGAATTTTTGCATATTGATCCATGCAGCAGAGATATTGTTGCATGATTTATAGAATGACTTTGGTTATTCTAGACATTGCTTGTTATTTATGGTGTAATTGGGATTTATTACTCTCATGCAGTACTTGTTAATGATAGGTAGAGAGGAAAGTGCTGTGCTTCGTAGAACAAAAGATTAGGTTTCTAGTGGGTAAAAGAAGGACAAGCCTTCTCTAGTCTTCCTAGAGTTCTAAAAAGACATAAAATTTAAATTAACTGCATGTACCACATTATAGCTGAAAATCTTGTGGTCTGAAAATTACACATGGCAATTGTCTATCACTTTTCCTTTCAAGAGTGACATTTTTTAAAATTTAGTATGTGTTATTCTGTCTATGGATATCCTACTCTTAGCAACAAAAGAGGATTTAGGGACTAGGGTGTTTCTTAAAACATGCATCCAAACATAAAATGGCTGTGCAAGAATTAAGCTAGTCCATCTCATTAATAAGAATGAATATAAATTTTCTTCTGTTAACTTAACTGTTTAATACCAAAGAAAAATTAAAAGAATTTTAATTAATTTATTTTAAAAATAAAAGTATCTAGTAATAATGCTAAAAAACTGATTTCAAAGGGTACAAGATTAAGGTAGTGCGCAGAATATTCTAATTTATAAAAGCTGTCCCCGCTTGAAAAAAGCTTGAGAAAATCTTATCTAGACCAGGATTTTATTACCTTTTTAGTGGGGGGGACCCACTAATATTTACGAAAATTTTATGGAACCCCATAAGCATTGTGCAAATCCAACACGCACATGAGCAAAACTATCAGATTCTTCACTTGTACTGTAATATACTCATAGACTCCAACTACTACGGATTTTCCGTAGTTTCTACGGAAATTCATGAAAAACTACGAGCTACGAAAAGTATGGGAAAAACTACGGAGTTTACAGAAACATAGTAGGAGAACCAGTGCGCAAAACAGATCATGTCATCATATATCACGTGTTGAGAGCGTTGCTGGTTTTGAAGAATAGCCAATCGTAGATCGGTAACTCCAACTGTTAATTACTTGTCAATAGTTCCCCCGCAACATCTGTCTTCTTTGTCTGTCTCCCAGGTTTGTTGCTGCTGCGTGTTTAGCCTGCCTTCGGCTTCATCGTTTGGATTACGGCGAGAGCTTAGAGTGTGTCTTGTGAAGTGTGATTCAGTTGGAAGTTTTTTTGTTAATAATGCTACCTCGAATGAAAAAGCCTTAAATTATCAAAGCAGAAATTTAAAGATTCCTATTCTTCAGAATTTCCATGCATTAAAGCATCCGAAATTTCTTTGAATCACGCACACTGCAGTGTATGCAACAAGACTTCTCAGTTGCACATGGCGAAAAAGATGATTAAACAGCATGTTTTTTCTCAAAAGCATATAGAACTTGGCACTGTAAAATCTAAAGAAACAATGAATTTCTTAATAAAAGATGATGAAACAGGTCCTATAGAAGCCGAATGCTATTTTATTTTTTTAGTTGAACAAAATCTACCGCTTTCTGTTTCGGATCATTCCAAAGAGCTTTTCAAAGCAATGTTTCCGAATTCAAATCAAGTATAATCATCCGAGGTTGTCTCTGCCACCTCTTGCATATAGCTGCAATAAAGTCTACTGAAAAATTAATTGGTTCAGAAATTGAAATATTTTTAATAGATATATATATTTTTATTTGGAGAAAAGTTCGAAACGGAAGCATAGCTTTAAAGTTGCTCAAGAAATTTTGGAACAGAATGCAAAATCTCATAAAATTTTGAAATATTGCAGTACGAAATGCTTGTCTCTTTTAAGGCCCGTCTACACGTAACGATTTTCTCGGCCGACTTTCTTGTAGAGCAACAATTTTAAGGATCTGCGCATTGTTCTCTGCCGCGATTTCAGAACTGGTGTTTACTGCTCACTAGTGTACGATAAAATCAGTGTCTCTAGCCAGTAAGATTGCTTTGAATTATCACGTGCTTTTTCTCCTCATTTTAAATAATAAACATGGCTGCATTTAGTTGGAGCGAAACTAAAATTTTTCATCTGATAGATTTCTATAAAGAGAATGTTGTGTTGTGGGATACAAGTAATGTAAATTTTAAAAATAAAAAATTAAGGTATTCTCTTATTTTGGTAAGATTTGTCTTCCCCTTTACTTTATATATTCAAATATTTTCTATTCAGGGAGAAAATTATTTTAACTCCCCCAAGGAAGGTTCCAAAAACTACTGAATGATGCCATATCATGGGTACTAGATAAAAATATCCAGAAAACTACTTGAAACTTGTGGTTGCACTTATTGAAAAAATTCAGAAAGCAAAATCTCCAGTCGAGAAATTACGAGACGGATTTAAAGCAGATCGGAGACTCGTTGACTTCGCCGAAAATGTGAGTTTAATCAGCTGACGAAGTACATAGCTTTTTCCAACACCTCCATACACGAGCGATCATAGCTTCAGTGGTAAAGAGCAGAACCAACAGCAGTTTTTCTCCAGTACATCAAGATCATGGGTTCGATCCCCCACCCTTAATTTTGGACATTCTGCGCCCAAGAACCTTTTTAATTTCGTTTCTCCATCACTAATTCGAACTGCATGACTTAAATGTCACTTTTTATTTTTTCACCTACGGGTGTGATGTTTATTGAATTTTAACGCCTTTCTTTTTATTTTTCGAATGCCCTTGGCACGTGTTTTAGATCTACTGGTCAAAAGAAAGTCACAAGTCACAAACTCAGTTTTGTGTTAATTGAGTTTTGTGAAAATAAATTACAGCCTAATTTAATACAATATTGCTAAATTTTATTAGCTGATTAACTTATACAGTCATATGATCATAGTTTTCAGACTGTATTAGTTATTTAATTATGCTGATATTAGTTTTTAAATGTTCAATAATATACTACTTAAGACTTTGCACCTTTATGATATTTCTTATTTGAAATTTTTGCACTGAAATTACACTGTTGCTTTGTAATGTAGTAATATTTATTCTTTATTACTTTTTACTCATACTGGTTTGATATTCATGACATTATTGTCTATTTTTTCATTAATAATGGTTTTGATTTAAAGCACAGAAGTTATTTATTTTTTCTGAAACATGGTTATTTTTTTATTTCCAGATTTAAGTGCACAAATAGGAGTGCCAGAAAATGAAATTTAAAAATAAATAAATAATAATAAAAAAGGAGTAATCTACGCATTCAGTACACAAAAGGAAAAGCATATTTTTTTAAAATTTTGCTGCAAACTAAATTTAGCCAAAAAATTTAAATCACACGGTATCATCCGTAAATACTTTTCGAATTGCACCGTGTCTTCCATACGCAACTCTTGGGAGCAGAGTATTACGAAGGCACCATGAATTTCTCGTCGTTTGACCCAATTTCTGGTCCAAACGCATTTTATTTATTGCTTCCCCTCTGTAGCTGTATACTAAGTTCAAAATTGTAGCTGTATCTATAGTAGCAATTTAAAATGTCATCCATTATTTTGACAACACCGTAAGCTTTGTTTACAAATCATAGTGTGGCGCTGTAGAGGGCGGGAACACTTCCTTTCACGGTGATTGGCTGAGTGAATTCCTGTACTAATGAGAAAATCGTTCCGTGTGGACAGGCAAGCTATCTCAAATATTGTCGGTCAGATAAGTCGGCCGAGAAAATTGCTACGGGCCTTTAGAATCTATAACAAGGATTTGGGAACAGAGGTATGCTGTGATAAATTTTTTTGGAGATCAACCAGATAACAATGAGAATGAAGGAAAGAGATTGCAAAACATTAAAAAAATGTTACAATCACCTACCACCAAATTGTACTAGTTATTTTTGAAAAATACTTTGCCTTTGTTTATAACAGTAAATATTAATTTACAACAACAGGCTCCTTATATACATAAATTGAGAATAGAAGTTGTTGAACTTTTAATGAATTTATTTGTTAGATTCGTAAAACCATCAGTAATTCCTAAGGAAAATGAAGATTTTACTCTTAACATCTCTTCCATTTCAGAAGTATAGTAAACAAAAAGAAAATGAAAATTTAGTAATTGGTGCGGAAACAAGACTATATTTAAAAAGTGTCAAGTTGATTGAAAGTAAAGTGAAATCATTTTTCAATTCTGTGCGAACTTTTTTTGTAACTGCATGTTCGTATATAATAGATAAATTTCCACTAAGTGATCCATTTCTAAAACATGCTGAAGTTGCTGACATCAACTTAGGACTGAAGTTTCATTTTCATCTGTTCTTTACTTAATTAATACTTTTCCATCCATTATTGATGAAAAATATCTTAATCAAGTGGAAATTGAATTTTCCATGTATCTAGTAGATGATTTGAAAGAAATTG